TATACATGCCTTGGATACAAGCAAAGCCGCTTGGTAACCATCCTCCAATAAATCACAATTCAAAGCAGTATAGATGGGGTAGTGCCCCACACACGCTAGCCCAGACAAGCTACAGACTGAATCAAATAGCGTGGGCGACTACAAGTGTATATACATGACAACTAACTTCACAGGAAAAACCTATTTACGGCCAAACTGAAGGGCAAATCCCGTCTACCCCCTCCCCCCCCAAAAACCAAAACCAAAACCAAAACCAAAGCCAAACCAAGCTAAGCCAAACCAAAAATCAACCCACCACACCTTACGCGCGGGCGCCGCATCAAAATCGCTTTCGGAGGAGTCGGGCCATGCAGCTCCGTGTACGTATGAGGCTGAGCGTGCCTGTGCATACGTTTGCTTGGGGTTGTTGGGTGTGTTGGGATGAGCTCGTCTGGGTAGTCCGGATGAACTGGTAGAGCGTACGGCCATTTCCCCCGCCTCGAGGTGCGGTTCGGTCCTGTGTTCAGGTTTAGGGTTGTGCTTGTGATGGTGTGTTTGTGATGGTGTGGTTGTGACTATGATTATGGTGATGGTTATGTTTGTGTGTTTATGATTATGGTTGTGTTGGTGATTTGTGATGGTGTATTTGTGAGGATGATTCTGGTTATGGTTATGGTTATGCTTGTGTGTTTATGGTTATGATTCTGTTTGTAATAATGGTTGTGGTCATGTTTGTGGCCATGTTTGCGGGTATGTTTGGGAAAATAGATATCTATACAGGTATGTTTGCATGCATACAGAGGGGCACTGAGTGCGAATGTGTGAGTAAGTGGTGTGCTAACAGTCTGTTGCAGACTGAGAACAATGTCTTCATAGAAATAAGACAAACGTTAATTACCAATGGTAGCACGAAATAATCTGGAAATGGGTATCTGCCCTGATTCCCCCCTTTTGGTCTCGACTATTTTAGGACTGCCCTAAGTGGTGCAGATCATTCTATAAAATGGCCTACAGACCTATGTTCGTATAATGCAGGTGAGTTTGCACCTCTTTATCTCAAGCGCTCGAAGGGCAACTCCCGTGAGTGTGCTGTAGTGTTGATGCAACGGACGTTGTTGTTCGAAGAAGCTCTGAATGCAGCCAAATTTCAGTCAAATCTATACCGGCGGCTCGTACCCGTGATACTAAGCAAGTCTCACGACAACGACTGAAGTCTCACGACAACGACTGAAGCCTCACGACAACGACTGAAGCCTCACGACAACGACTGACTGTGTGCTAGACACTTTCGCATGGGAGGGTGTAGGTTGTTGTAGGCAACTAGTACGATTGTACACAACCATGAGGTCGACTTCTACACAAACACTGTAAGGTCATGCACACTACACCCCATCACAAGACCACAGGGTGAATGACTTTACTTCAATACAACCACTGCACCCCATCACAAGATCACAGGGTGAATAACTATAAATAAGGAGAGGTAAATAACTTTCCATAGGGGGGGGGGGGTGGGAAAACTATCCATAGGGGGTGTGTGTTGAGGGTTCGTACGTACCTGTGTCGCACGTGGCTGGACTCCTTGGTGTAAGGTGATATGGTGCTCTGCGCATAGGAGATGGAGTACAGCTGCCCTCCTATGATCTCCCCTGGATTGCTTTCCAACCTGCCAACGCGTATAAAGAGAGCGGTTATCAGGTACACATGTCACAGTGGCGTATAGGTATTGACGTGCGTGGGGTTGACTGTGGGAGGGGCTAGTGTGGTGTACCGAACTTTCGGCTTATGCGGAAGCAAGGCATGCATGCATACAAGGAACAGAAAACAAAACAAAACAAACCAGGCCTAAACTTCTGTGAGTATGCTTGAAAAAAAAGCTCGGGTGCATATGGGTGTCTACATAACTGTACACATCCTTGTACTGGGTGTGTACTTGTATCTACCTACCTGTGCACATCCTTGTGCTGGGTGTGTCTTTGTATCTACCTACCTGTGCACATCCTTGTACTGGGTGTTGCTGAAGCGGGGTGGGTTGCTCTGTGCAGACTTACGTTGGGTCCTGGGTGTAGTGGGTTCAGACAAGGTGTCGCGCGACTGCCTCCGCGCTCTCGATCGGGCTGTCTGTGTCTGAGCATGATATGGGTATGAGGGGTGTATATAGGGGTGTATATAAGGGTGTTTTATAGGGGTGTATAAAAGGGTGTTTATAGGGGTGTATGTAGGGGTGTATATAAGGGTGTATACAAGGACGGCCAGTGTAAACAAACATACTCTGTGTGCGAAGTGGATTCCAGTGCCAGACCACCGCGGTGTCTGCAATTCAGCCTCAACACAGGTGAATCCTCAGATACTTTGAACTGTGCCTAATTCCTTAAGCAGCGCGTGTGCGTATCGGAATGATCTCTCGTGAAAGCACACCACCTCCCGTGATCTCCAGTTTTGTGCCTAGCACGCGCACGCTCTGGGTATACCAGACATACATGCAAACGCTAGCATTATGAAAGCAACCGGGCCAAACCCAACACACATTCAACCCAACCCCAACCCAACCCCAACCCGGCTTACCCGCTTGTTCTTAGCCCTGGAGACCTCGGTGTGCTGTGTCTGATAGTCCTTGATTAGCTGAAGGGATATGGTGTGCACCAGCTCAGGGATGCCCGTGGTCCACAAGTCTCTAACTTCCTTCTCCAGGGTTTCCTGCAACATTTGCGCCAAGAACTTGTTGTCGTCGAAGGACGTGTTTACCTGCAAGGTCGGCCCAGCTCAGGATTAGGACACCCATCGTCCGTTGCGGGGATGGGTGAGTGCGTGCTCGGGTAGGTGATTGTGCCAAGGTATACGCGCATACAATAGCTATCACACATACGAGGCCTTCACACTGTACACATACACACCCAGCCGAATCTGTTGGATACTTGGACTATATTCGGAAGTATGCAGTGAGTATGTGCGGCAGATGAAATTCGGCACGACAGAGCCAACAACGCGCATATTTGCACAATAGATAGCGCATAGACCCCAGGGGGTAGGCCAGACACCCCGGAATTAACACACAAGTACACATATTCGTGGTTGAGCAAATGTATGCGTGGATACGTTAAAAACACACACACAGTGATGATTGTATAAATGTTTATGGGCGTATATACACGGGTAATCGTTCATATTTACTGGATGGGTCACCCCTTCGTACAAATGCATGCAGTGTTGTTCCCCACTGCGAAACGACATGGTCGTCACCGTACGTTTGTAGCTGCAGCAGTCAGTGCAAACATTCGAACGATAAACTACCGCGTTCGATACTCTATTATACTTTATTCCATACTGAGGCACTGCAACCTGATATATATATATATATATATATATATATGTGTGTGTGTGTAGATAAGACATATATATAAGTATACATATATATACTTTGATGCTGACTAGCGGGTCGTTCTTGAAGCTGAGCGCCACGCCGCGTGTCCTGTGCATATCGAGATTGGCGATGCCATCGATTTCCCATTTGCTGATTGACACCTACACAGTGACAAAATGACAGGTAGGTAGCATCACGTAGTGTCAAATGATCGCAGCATGGTGAGTTCTGTACAAGAGGGGCACGTATGCCGTCAGACACTTACAATATATCCCCCGCGGAAATATGTACACTACATCAACTGTGCATACATAACGAACAAACCAACCGAGTATAGATGGGAGCTAGGTCGTAGATGGGTGCGTGTACGCAAGAGGCACAGTACATGCCATCGACCCTATGGGATCGCCCAAGTTTATTACTGTGTCGCAGGTGATGCGCTACGGATAAACCCATCGGTAAGAATTACCCCATAAACTCAGTTCAACCCGTTGCCTTGCCCCCAAAACTCTGTTTAACCAATGCCTTACTCCAAATGTATAGCTGACTGAATGTGGTATCCAGCATATGTGGCGTGCCAGTCCATGCGTAACCCGACCAAACTACAAGCTACGCCAACTGAGAGCGACGGCACATGTGTCCAGAAAACTATCAGAGGTAGCTAATACGTGTAAACGATACAACTGGCAAGCACCGCTAAACACAATCTACAGGACAGCTGTACATCTGAATAGGTCCAATAGCACGACAGCTAGCATATAAGTGTAAACGATACATCTAGCATATACGTGTAAACGATACAACTGGTATATACGTGTAAACGATACAACTAGCATATACGTGGAAACGATACAACTGGCACGTACGTGTAAACGATACAACTAGCAAGCACCGTTAAACACAACTAAAAGGACAGCTGTACATCTGAATAGATCCAATAGCACGGCGCCACAAGAAACAGCCTGAGAGGCCCTAACCCATAAGCAAGAGCACCGTAGACAGCAAGTGATAGGACCGTTCTATACGCAGCACGAGCCAGGACGACTATACGAAAGCCACATAGCAATATACGACAAAACACCCCACACGCTGAGTGCAGCAGTACCTTCACGGGGATTATCAAAGGCAAATGATAGGACCGTTCCTTACGCCGCACGAGCCAGGACAATCATACAAAAGCCACATAGCAATACACGACAAAACACCACACCACACACGCTGAGTGCAGCAGTACCTTCACGGGGATTACCAACGGCTTGTTGACGGCCATCACACCTTTCTTGAGTCGGTTGATGTTGGATTGGCGCGTGGGGGTTTTCACGGGTGCTAGCTGCGCCTTAGATGTGAACTCCACCGACAGGTCGCCGGAATAGGCCAGCTGTGGTGTTGGGGGCGTCAGGGTGTTAAGAACAAGCTGTACGCAAAAGTCTAGAGAGAATACAATACATACAATACGCACGTATTGTACGTTAATCAGTTTCCTTGGCAGGCCTGCCCGAGTCATCTATTAACTGCGTTGGCATCCGCGGGATGAAGCATACATGATAACTTCATGGGTCTCTGCACATTCATTACATTCACGAGATGTATATACATGCAGTCGGTGTATTCTTGTAGGGCTGTTCCGTCCCACCCAATCAAAGTTCAAAGTTCACAATTCACAGTGTCCAGCCCACTGTTCACAGTTCACAGACCAAAGTTCAAAGTTCACAGTCCACAGTTCGAAGTTCAAAGTTGGGATAGAAGAATTGCATATGCGCAATCCATCACTGTGTACCTGATAGCTATACCGAAAAACTCGAAGCAGCAGTACGTGACTCCGAATACTAAACTGGGCATACCCGGAAAATGCCCTTGAAGCGCTCCATACTCAAGTCCGATATCTGCAGGATTTCCAACTTGGGAGGTATGGTGCCGAAGTTGATGTCTATTAAACGAAAACAATGCCGATTTAGAGAAAGATCCACATCCTTCGAATAATGCAACAAATAATGCGATACAAAAAAATAGCTGAGCTCAGGGTACAATGCACTTGGGCTCGCTCGCTATCGAGAGGTACATAGCGCGAGAATATTCCATTTCGAAACAAGTCTAGCAAACTACAACATATATATATATTCTTATACATAAACACACACAAACACACACACACACACACACAC